AAATTTTTTTCCTCTTCCATTTTCGCCTAAAATCAACTCTTGAAAAGATACATAATTAAATAGGAAGAAAAATATGACATTTTTCGAATTTTTTTAACATATTGTGCTGCCAAAAGTTAAGCCCACGTTTTTTTATGCGCATAGAAAAATTTTCATTTCTAGTGATATTTGAAAGCCAAAAAGCCAAAAAGCCAAAAATCTCCGGGGATATACGATTCACCCAAATATGGCTTTTTGAAACAGATACCGTCTGGACTATTATTCTATTATTAATGTATTAATGTATCATTTAAGAAAATGGGATATAACGCCTTCAAACAACAGAAAATTGACTAAAAAATGTTTGGTATTAAATGTTTCTAATAATTAATTAAGGTGTTAAGCTGTATTCATTTTCAATACATTTTATTTTACAGGAAAAGAGGATTTGTCCTCGCAAATTAACTAAAGCCTGCGTTGGAATAACAACTAGGGACAATACGACTGTAATGCTGGCTTGCAACGCATACACTGGAAATATAGCCCGTGCATCAAATAACGCACCTCCTCCAGTACTTCAATGAGAAACGAAAGCCTTCTTTTCTGTGAAGTCATACGAATTTGTATTCTAGAACACGTAAATTGGTATTGCAAATCATTAACTGCTAAATTTGAGGACTTTGATCTGTGCGTATATCTCTAAAACGAGCTCACAATAATATTTTCACTTAACTAAGCTGTATTGTATTCTTTAACATTATATTTATATAATTTATTCTAAGTTTATTTATTAAATCCGTCATTTCTCTAGGTATAGTGCTGGATTGAATCGATTAACCTCTCTAGTTGTGTGGATTAAATAAATTGTCCTGGCTAAGCTCATAGGTCTACTATTATTCCTATTTCCTTTTATCCTAATTTATAAATGAAAGGAATATACAGGGTGTGCCAATTAATACTTCTGCTGCCAATATCTCCGAAATGAAGCAATTTATTTTAATAATGCCTCAAAATGTAAATTGGGTCTTTGTGAAACTTACATAAATACGACTTACCAGTCCAGAGGTCAGAATCTGGAAAGATGGACCCTATAAAAAATATCCAATTTACATTGGAAAATACTTTTTAGGTTTAAAATTTGAAATTGCACCAAGTTTAATAATTTTCGACCTGTGATATAGGCAACTCACATTACTCGATTAATAATTACAAATTGTCTAACATAAAACTAAATTTTTAGAAATTTGGTTTGACATTGCCCATAACCAGCAATATTCGTTACAAATCAGGGGGTATTGTTGTATGGAATCGTTATTATAATTTCCAATATGATAAACATTGTTTAGTCTAGTATTTGCTCTTTATCTTTTAAAAATAAGAGTTGTCTTGAATTTATAAATGAAAGTTTTAGTGTCATAGTTAGTGATGTCAGACAAATAATTTAAAAACAGTAAGGCCCGGTACTTGTAGTCTCGGTTAAGACTTGATTAACTAATCAGGCGATTAGACTGTGAATATACATTTATAAAATAAATTAGTATATGTACAGACTAATCATGTGATTAATTGACCAAGGCTTAACGGAGACCCAAAGTACCGGGCCTAAATATTATAAAAAAAACACAAATCATTTATTTCTGGGTCATTGTGAACACGAATAATTTTCGGCTTTTGTGCTTACCATAAATAACCGTGGGCGCATTGTTCTTGCACCATGACAATGCGCCCACACACTCAGCTTTGTCAATCCATCAGTTTTGTGCCAAAAAACAAATTACTGTCCTCCCTACTCACTTGCGAGACCTAAATCTTTGCGACTTTGTCTTATTTCCGAAATCAGTGCTGAAAGGACGTCGTTTTTAGACTAGAAAGCACCAAGTGACAATTCATAGAAATTACTACAAACAAAAAAGAGTATACCTAGAAAAAACCCAACAGATATACAGGGAGTTCTTAGTGACCTAAATGTTTTAGATCAGCGGTCGGCAACCTTTTAGCAGGCAAGGGCCACAAATGAAATAAAGGTGGATTGCACTTGTTTATAATTTTGTTATTAGGTAGGTACCTACAGTGTGTATCAGCCGAATGGAATAAATTCAATAATAAATAAATGGGGGCGGGTTCGAAAAAACGCTCGGACAAGTCGACTGGTATTTTTAGTAGCGCATTTTTTTCAACAAAAACTTTCATACACGGTGTGTCAGTGGTCAACACCAACATTCTTATTTTAAATGCAACACCTTGTATATTATTAAACTTTTGGATTCTTCAGAAAATTCTAGATATATTTCATGTCCAATGTTCCATACCTATCTTCAACTGCTTTGAAAATATTAAGTGTTTTGATTTATTGTAAAAATTAACATTAAGAAAAGAAAATTTTTACATAAATTTGCTACAACACACTCAATACTTATTTCCCATGTAGCTCTTGATAATGAGAAAGTAAGTAAAAACCATTTCAGCATTCCTTTTTACTGATATGAATTACAAAAACTATAAATTAATAGTTTTGTTTATTTTTGTTTAAAACGTCTGGCCTTAGCAACCTGTTGTCTACCTGCGTGACAGTAGTTGTCAGTGTTATAGTCGTTTATAGTCGTTTGAATTTCGTTAACTGTATAATCAGAAAAATGGTTAATTTAACAGAAATGCATAAAATAACAATTCTACAGATGATTGGTTATGGACATAACACACAGACACAAAGTTGTTCGCTTATTTCATGGAAGATTTCCAAATTTGCTGCCTATATGCCAAGGGACAATTAGTAAAACAGAAAATCAGTTTCGCGAGCTTGGACGATCGATGAAGACGATTTTGATAGAAGTACGTATTTTTGTGAACATATGTTGGCGATGTTAGATAACAATGTGATCCAATTAGAACATATTTTGTTTTCTGATGAGTGCACCTTTACACTTCACGATCATACTAATCGTCAAAATTGCTGCCATTGGTCTAATGAAAATACTCACTGGATTACAGAAGAACATACGCAACACTCTGAAATGTTAATGTTTGGGTAGAAATTGCTGAAGATCATATCAAGGGTCCCTTTTTCATTGATGGCAATTTGAATGACGATAATTATTTAGCACTGCTCCAAAATAATGTCTTGCCAACTTTGACAAACTTATATCCTGATGCAGCAAACCCCCAAGTGAATATGATATAGTTTCAGCAAAATGGAACACCGCCCCATTACCAAATCAATGTCCGGCAGTACCGCAACCGAACATTTCCAAATCGGTGGATAGGGAGACGAGGATTGATGGAATGGCCAGCACGATCCCCTGATCTGACACCATTAAACTTCTTCTTATGGGGGATATGTCAAAAGTATTGTACAAAACTAAACCCCTCAACTTCGCTGACTTAAGAAGAGATAACGCTTTCAATTAAATTGGTCACGCCTGAGATGTTGAGTAGCGTTAGAAGTTTCTATTTAAGATTAGGATGTTGCCAAGACGTTCGCGGCGAGGATTTTGATTATCTCCTATATTTACATTAATGTTTTTTTGCGTTTTTACATTATCAATAATTAAAGAGTATTACTTATTAGTTGAGTGTGTTGTAGCGAATTTCTGTAATCAAATAATTTTCTTTTTTTTTGAGGTTAATCTTTGCAATAAATCTGAAAACACTTAATATTTCCGAAACAGCTGAAGATTGGTATAGAACATTGTACATGAAATATGTCTAGAATTTTCTGAAGAATCCAAAAATTGAAAAGTATACAGGATGTTGCATTTAAAATAAGAAAGTTGGAATTGACCGTTACATGAGATACCCTGTATAAAAAGTTTTTGTTGAAAAAAATGAGCAACTAAGAATACCAATCGACGTGTCCGACCGTTTTTTCGAACACGCCCCCATTTATTTATTATTGAATTTATTCCATTTGGCTGATACACACTGTATATCGATGGGATTAAACCGTAAAATCACAAATATTTAATTTTACATCTAATTCGTAATCATTTTAATTAAATTAATAAGTATGAACAAAAACAGAAAGAAAATAGGAAAAAACAGACAAATTCGATGAGAACTTCGAAATAACTATACCTGCATGCGAGTCGAATAAAAATTTAATGTTATTTTTGATGCTGTATTTGACTGGCTATTTGTGGAATGTTTGCTTTCATGTCTGTCGTAGAAATTCTTAGAATAACACTTAAATGATCATCTCTGAGACGAGAACAATATTTATTTTTTATGTAATTGAGAATTGAAAAAGTTTATTCGCATAAGTAAGTGCTGCTAAAAATTGTACTTAATTGCTGAACAAACCTTTGGTCGTTTTGCTCACAGATGTCACAGATTTTAGTTTTGGTGCGAAGTCCGAACGATAAGACCGTTATTTACGGAACTATCGCAGGCCGCAAGGAGAAGGCTCGCAGGCCGCGTGCCGACTGCTCTTTTAGATACAAAATATTTTTATCTAAATATTTGGCTACACCCTAAGTTTTATTGAAATATTTGAAAGGAGTTGTTGAAAAACAAAAATAATTAAAAAGTATTTTGATGTACTATTCTGATCTGAGGAACTTTCGTACTTAGTTATATCACCCTGTACAATAAATAATAAATTATTGTTACAAATACATTTTATTGAGAAACGATAAACGGTATACCTATATCAAATGTACAAGTTTTTATTTATTATTATTTTTTTGATAATCTACCTCAATAATCGAACCACCCTGTATAAAAGATGCAACTCTATGCGAATGTGTGAAAATCTTAAAGTTCATGAGAACTAAAGCTATGAATGGATACTAATACAACACACCCTGTAGATAACAGTAACCACTGATTTTTAATTCAACAACTCGTTAATAATAATGACTATAACAGATGAGATCAGAAGTGCTTCGAGGTAGTTGATATCGAGAGGTTAAAGCGGTTAGTGAGTGTATTTATCGTTTCGCTTCGAATAGCGGACAGTGTAGTGCAATTAAAATGTTTTTAAGCACAAAATCGTTGCCGTTCTTCCTATTTTTCGTCATATACTGCCATGGTGAGTACTATGAATCAGGCTGTGTTTATTAACTGTACACGAAGAGAAGGTCAAGATACTAATGTAAAGGTTAAAACAACAACTCTGTTTACTTATGTATATTTTACACATATTAATTTCACATTAACATTTTCTTTTCTGAGTCAATCGAAATTAACTCGAAATATGCAGAAAATACTAATGAATGAAAATTATTTCATTATACAATCAGTTAAAGCGTTTTGTCGGAATTTATGAATGATCTTTTATATAAACATGTGCTACTTATCACAAAATTCAATCAAAATACAGAAATCTTTAAGAAAGTAAATTATCATAAAAATGAATTAAAAATCATAGACACCACTCGTTTGACATTTTTATTAAAATAGTAAAAGCTATGCAAAAAAGTCGATAGATTTTTTCAAATTTATTTTAAAAACCAGCATACCTTATATCTATGCCACTTTTTAACACTGAGACTTATTTTTTTATGTTAGATGAAAATAAAATAGCTATCTACATTTGTATGATGTAGATGTATAGATATACAGGGTGTTGCATCACGAGAGGGACATGGCTTAATGGGAGATAGAGGACATCTAGTGTAACTAGGATCGCCTATAGGAATAACTTCTTGACCATTCTTTATTGAGATACAGGGTGATTTATGATTTTTGGTCAAAACTGCTTTATGTTATAAGTTTGGTAGGGAATGGAATAATGGGTTCATATTTGGTAGGGTTAATGCACTCACGATACTTCATGTATGCATGTATGACAGCAAAAAAATCCAGGTCCGGACTGCAAAAATTGTAAATTTTTTGTGCAAGTCTAGAAAACAACACTCTGTATGTATTTTTTTTGAAATTCCGATACGATATTCGGAAAGAGCATAAAAAAGTGATTTTAGAGACAAGTTTCTTTTTTTTTACACTTTGGTGGTTATTTAAATAAGCTATTGAATATACGAGACTACGGCTTCTAAAACTAAATTATGTGAAGGACACATGATAAAAATGGTTTTGCAACTAAAATTAGCGAAGGCTTAATTGAGGGTAGATGTTATAAATAAGCATGCATATTTTAAACCTCATTTTCTTTAAATAATATGTATTCCAGGTCCGG